CCCTTCCCTCTCCCTAGTTCCCTTTCATATTTGAACATTTTCTTCCCATTTCCCAATATCTTTTATACATTTTGGTCCTTGTTTACACTTGCACTTTCTCACACCAGATAAACAATGTGGTATTTAAATATGTGTGTTCCATTTATTTCATTTAAGTGTATGGTCTCAAAGTAGCTCTGTTTAGCTATAAATGTCTTAAGCTCATCCTTCTTTATGGCAGAGTAGTATTTCATTGTATAAAAACCCCACATCTTCTTTATCCACTCATCAGTTGATGGGCATTTGGGCTGTTTCCAAGATTTAGCTATTACAGACTGTGCTGCTATAAACATGGGTGCCGTTATATCACTGTGGTTTGATGCTTTTAATTCTTTCAGGAAGATACCCAGAAAACGAATAGCTGGGTCAAATGGGACATCTAAATCTAGTTCTTTGAGGAATTTCCACACTGATTTCCACAGTGGTTGCACCAGTATATACTCCCACCAACAGTGGAGAAGGGTTCCTTTCTCCCCACACCCCCTCCAGCATTTGTTATTGGTTGATTTCTTGATAGCAGCCATTCTTTCTGGGTTGAGGTGGAATCTCAGTGTTGTTTTCATTTGCATCTCTCAAATAACCAGTGATGTTGAACATTTTTTCATATCTTTATTTGCTGTTTCTACTTCTTCATCTGAGAAGTGTCTGTTCATTTCAGATCCCCATTTTTAGTTTTTGGGGTTTTTTTTTGGTACTGGGGATCAAATTTGGGACCTTGCACTTGCAAGGCAGGCGCCAGAACCACTGAGCTAAATCCCTGGCCCCAGATGCCCATTTTTGGATAGGGTCTTTAAATTTGGGGGTTTAATTTTTTTGTCTTTTATATATTCGAGATAGTAGTCCTTTGGGGAACAATTGACTACAATTTTTCCCCACTCTGTAATAGGGTGTCTCTTCACTCTGTTGGTGGTTTGTTTTGCTGTGCAAAGCCTTTTTTTTTGGGTACCAGGACTGAACTCAGGACTTTGTGCTTGCAAGGCAGGCGTGGTGCTACTGAGCTAGATCCCTGGGCCTGTGCAAAAGCCTTTTAACATGATGAAATCCCAGTTGTTGATTCTTTGAATATTTTCCCGTGCAGTCTGGGTTTTGTTCATAAAGTCTTTGCCTACAGCGGTGTCTTCAAGAGTTCTACCTATTTTATCTGCCAGCAGATTTAGCGTTTCTGTTTTAATATTTAGATCTGTGATCCATTTTGATTTTAGTTTAGTGCATGGTAAAAGATATGGGTCTGGTTTTAATCTTTGGTATGTGGAAAGCCAGATTTTCCAGCATCATTTATTAAAGAGGCTTTCTTCCAGTGATGGTGTTTGGCCCCTTTGTCAAAGATAAGGTGGCTTAGTTTGTTTGGAGTTGTTTCTGCATCTTCTAATCTTTTCCATTGATCCTCAGGTTTGTTGTTGTTGTTGTTGTTGTTGTTGTTGTTGTTGTTTTGCCAGTCTGATGCTGTTTTTATCAAACTTGCTTTGTTGTATAATTTCAAGTTGAGGATTGTGATGCCTCCTGCCTTGCCTTTGCTGCCCAGAATTGCTTTTGCTAATCTAGATTTCTTCTGGTTCTAAATGAATTTTAGGAATGTTTTTTCTAATTCTATGAGATATGCTCATGGTATTTTGATCAAGATTGCATTAAATCTGTGTAACGATTTTGGAAGTATGGCCATTTTCACTACATTGATTCTTCCTTCCCAAGAACAAGGGATGTCTTTCCATTTTCTGATATCCTGTTTGCTCTCCCTTTTCACAGTACTGCAGTTTTCCATGTAAAGGTCTTTTACTTCCTTCATTAGATTGATTCCTAAATATTCCTTTTTTTGGATGCTATTGGGAAAGGTGTTTCCCTAATTTCTCTCTCAGTGAGTTATTTGTGTACAGGATTGCTATTGATTTTTAAGTGTTGACTTTGTATCCAGCTACACCTTATTAAGTCTTTTTAAGCCTTATTAAGTCTTGCTTATTAAGTCTAGAAGTCTTTTGGGATCTTCTATGTAGAGTATTGTGTCATCTGCAAATAATGATAATTTAACCTTTTCCTTTCCTATTCTTATTCCTTTTATTTCTTTCTCTTGTCTAATTGCTCTGGCTAGTGTTTCCAGAACTATATTGAATAAGAGTGGTGATAGTGGACATCCTTCTCTTCTTCTGATTTCAGAGTAAAAGATTTTGGTCTTTGTCCATTTAGTGTGGTGTTCACTATTGGTTTGTCATAGATGGCTTTTACCAGATTGACATAAAGATCCTCTATTCCAGTTTTCTGTAGGGTTTTTTTTTTTAATCATGAATGGTGGGTATTGGACTTTGTCAAATGCTTTTTCTGCATCTATTGAGATGATCATATGGTTTTTGTCCTTGGCTCTGTTGATATGGTATATTACATTTATTGATTTGCATATATTGAGCCATCCCTGCATCCATGGGATGAATACCACTTTTTCATGGTGTATAATCTTCATGATGATTTGCTGCATTCTATTTGCCAGTATCTTACTGAGAATTTTTGCATCTGTGTTCAGTAGGGAGATTGGCCTATAGTTCTCTTTTTTGGTTGGATTCTTCTCTGGTTTTGGTATCAGGAAAATGCTTGCTTCCAGGAATGAATTTGTGAATATCGCTTCCCTTTCAGTTTCATTAATGAGTTTGAGAAGTAGCAGCATTAGGTCTTCTCTGAATTTCTTATAGAATTTAGCAGTGAATCCAATAGAGCCTGGGCTTTTATTTGTTGGTGCATATTTAAACTAAAACCTCAGTATTCAGGTTTTTGGGGGGGGGGGTTTGGTACCGGGGATCGAACTCGGGTCCTCACGCATGCACAGCAGGCGACAAAACCACTGAGCTAAATCCCCGGCCCTGTTGGTGAATATTTAATTGGATCTTCAATTTCATTGATTGATATTGGTTTATATAGAATTTTTATATCTTCTTGGTTCAGCTTTGGTAATTCATACATATCTAGGAATCTGTCCATTTCTTCTGCATTTTCCATCTTATTAGAATACAGGTTCTTGAAGTAGACACTAATGATCCTCTGGATTTCTGCAGGATCCATTGTGATTTCACCCTTTTCTTTCTAATTGTATGGATCTGAGTCTTTCCTTTCTTTTGATAAGGTTGGCTAAGAGTTTGTCAATTTTATTTAATCTTTCAAAGAACCAACTCTTCAATTCATTGATTCTTTGTATTTTCTTAGTCTCCATTGCATTAATTTCTGATCTGATCTTTATAATTTCCCCCCTCGTACAAGCTTTAGGTTTGACTTGCTCTTCTTTTCCTAGAAGCTCGAGGTTCAACATTAGGTTGTTTATTTGAGCTTGCAGTTTTTCTTTTTCTTTCTTTTTTTTCTTTTAAGAGTAGGAAAAATGTATTGAGAGAAAGAAAGCTTCTATCTAAGAGAGACAGAAGGGGGACCCGAAAGTGGGTTGCCTGCCCACCCCACTTTTCAAAGATGCTTTCTACAGCAAAGCCACGTGGTGAGGCAGGTACACAGTGGGACAAAACTGTAAGACCCAATGGAAATTTACAAGGTGGGCATGAGGTGGGACAAAACCATGACCAACCAGTAAGATCACAAGTACAGTCACCCAGGTAACATTGATTAAATGGGGGTCAAATGGGAAGACAAGGCACTTAAATAGCTTGCTGTTTTTCTAATGTGAGAATGTACTGCTATAAATTCCTCTCGTAGAACTACTTTCATTGCATCCCATAAATTCCAGTATGTTGTATTGGCATTATTGTTTAATTGTAGAATCTGTCTGATTTCTTTAATTTCATCTGTGACCCATTGGTTGTTCAGGACAGTGTTAATTTCCATGTGTTTAGGGAGTTCTTGTGGTTTCTTTTGCCATTGATTTCCAATTTCATTGTAGTATGGTCTGATAACATGTATACATGGGATAATTTCAATTCCTATGCATTTACTTAAGCATGTTCTATGAGCTAGTGTGTGATCTGTTTTGAAGAACATCCCATGTGCAGCTGAGAAGAATGTGTATTTTAATGTTGTAGGGTGGATCACTGTAGGTGTGTACTAAGTCTATTTGTTCAAAAGTTTGGTTCAGTTCTGGTATTTCTTTGTTGATTTCTTTTGTCTAGTTGATCTATCTGATTTTGAATGTGGGGTATGGAGGTCCCCGTTACAGTAGCATTAGTGCTTATTTGATTTTTCATGTTCTTTAATGTTTGTTTTATATAGTTGGGTGTGCTGGTGTTTGGTGCATATATATTTATGATTGTTATCACTTCCTCTTGGATTGTTTTCTTTACATGGATGTAGTAACCTTTGTCTCTCTTACTCAGTCTTGGCTTGAAATCCACATTTTCTGCAAATAGAATAGCTACCCCTGCTTTTTTCCAATTTCTTTTTGCATAGAGTATTGTTTTCCATCCTTTGACTTTCCAACTCTTAATTTGCTTTTGAATTAATTATGTTTCTTGTATACAGCATATTGTTGGATCTTGCTTTGATTTTTTTTCTTTTTTGGTACTGGGGATCGAACTCAGGACATTGTACTTGTGAGGCAGGCGCCGGAACCACTGAGCTAAATCCCTGGGCCCTCTTGCTTCTTGATCCATTCTGCCAGTCTGTTTCTTTTGATTGGTGAATTGAGACCATTAACATTGATGGTTATAACTGATGCGTGTTGACTTATCCTCGTCATGTTTTTTTCCTGCTGTTGGTTTCCTGTCTTTACCCTCTGTTTAATTGCCTGCTTTGCCTGGTGGGTTCTTTCTCTTGGTGTTCTTGGAATTGTAATCTTCATTATCTCTTTCTAAAATACCCTTCAGAACACTTTGGAGTGCTGGATTGGTGGTTATCAATTTCTTCAGTTCTTTGTCATGGAAGTATCTTATTTCTCCATTGATTTTGAAAGATCAGTCTGGGTTGGAGGTTGTTTTCTTTTAAGGCCTGAAATACTTCTCTCTGAGCTCTGGGAGATATTTTCGAACGTTACTCTTTCACCACAGGACAAGGCATGGACGAGCCTCTTTCCGAGACTGGATTCAAACAGGCAGCCGCCGCTGGGAGTTTTCTGAATAATGTGCTGTTCACTCACGCATTTTCCAGTGACCTCACGAGGACAAAGCAGGTGAGTCTGGGTCAGGGTCTGGGCTGATAAGGCAGAAGCGCAGCCCAAGTCTGTAGAGGATTAAATCAGAGACCTCACCCCACCCTCTCCCTCTACTCAGTCCAGAACTCATTACTTTTATTGTCATTGTACTTTTTGGGAGTAATTTTTACATTAGAATAGCACATTTTGAAAAAAATGTGTAACAAGAATATAAACAAATATAAATCAGCGTCAAGAGAGGCAGCAGAGACAACAGACAGATGAACCCACAAAGCTGCCAGGTAGCAGAATCACCAAAGACCTTAGAAAACCATCCCAAGCTGGGTGTGGTGTCAGATGCCTCTAATCATGGTACTAGGAGGTGGAGGCAGGAAGATTGGTGCATGTTCTAGGCTAGCCTGGGCAAGACTGTGTCTCAGCAAACTAAAACCATTATAATACCATAAAGACAAGTTACAATACTAAAAAGACAAGTTAGAAGTACCTTTAAGGGATTTTTTGGTTTTTTTTTTGGTACCGGGGATCGAACTCTGGTCCTTGTGCTTGCGAGGCAGGCGGTGGAACCGCTGAGCTAAATCTCCGGCCCCATTTAAGTGATATTTATTATAAATATGATGCCAGATTTTAAAAATAGCCAAATCAGTTTGTGAAAAGTCAGTGGAAGGAGACTTGTGGCTAACGATGAGGGAATAATAGGGCTGGAGTTTTGCCTTCCTGTGTAACAGCTAGAAAACACAGCAATGCGGGCCTTTTGGACCTGGCACTGTGGCCCCGAGTGAGTCCCAGGATCACCAGTGAGCCGAGGAAGGGAGCACAGGGTCTGCGGACCCTGGCATGACTGAAACCAGGGCAGAGGCTGCATATGCAGGGTGGTGCTGGGAGGCCAACAGAACCGGCTTGGTGCAGAGTCCCTGGTGCAGGGGTGCACTGAGTGCTTGGGCTCCCCAGACAAGGGGGGGTGTCACTGAATGCACGACTTTGTAGAGATCCAGGAGGAGACCCTTTCCTTTAACAGCAGTGCTAAGCTCACCCCACTGGAGAATGACAAGGTGGAAACAGACGTTATAGAGAGGGTTTTTAAAGGATCTAAACTGATGGAGAGATTTGTAAAATGTAATTTCACAAGAGAAGGTGAACAACAGACCCAGCCCTGCAGAGGAGATCCATGAACATGAAGACAGAGCACAACCTTCCGGAAGTAACTGGGGGAGAGGGAGGACTTGAGAGACAGTCTTGAGGAAGGGTGGGGTGTGGGGTGATACCACGCTTGATCTAATGCATGCACTTGGAGTCCCAGAAGTGATGGCAGTGTGGAGATTTTTAAAAAAATAGGTTCCGATACACATGTAATACAAACTGCACTTAGCCTGTTTGTGTTGTGCCCAGACCGCGAGGACCCCGAAGACCACCAAGGAGCCGATTCCGATACAAACACACAAGGGTCGTTTATTCAAGCTTGAGCAGGGACTCTCAACCATCACCGATGCAGCGGGTCAGGATTGAGAGCCCCTAACTCCAAATCAGCAGGGGTTTTTATAGGGGTTACAGCAAGGTTCGGGGAG